ATGTTGCTGGAGCTCCATAAAGTCCAAATGGGAGAACTTGGAACTGGAAGTGTCCAAATGGGGTCTTAAATGCTGTCAGCTCCTTGCATTCTGGCTTCAATGGAACTTGCCAGTACCCCTTGCAGAGATCTAACGTACTGAGGTATTTTGCTCTTCCAAGTCTTTCAACAAGTTCATCCACTCTCGGCATGGGGTAAGGGTCAAACTTACTGACACTGTTCAGTTTACGGAAGTCCAGGCAGAACCGGATAGTGCCATCCTTCTTTGGTACCAGCACAATAGGGCTGCTCCACTCACTGGTGGATGGTTCTATTACTCCAAGACTCTGCATGGTCTTTAGCTCCTCTTTCATCCTTGGCAGCAGTCTTTCAGGTACACGATAGACAGGCTGTCGGATGGGTTTGGGGTCATTCAGGAAGATGGAGTGACTAATCAGGTCTGTCCTACCAGGGGAATCCATGAAAAGACGGTCAGGTAAGCATCCCAACAACTGCTGTTTCTGTTTCTCCGTCAAGTGAGTGAGATTTAGCTCGCTCTTCTCTGGATGTCCAGGGATGTATTGCTCTTCAATCTCCTCCTCCTCTGATACTGCTCTCACAAACATAGCGTTGTCCATCACTGGGGCTGTTGTGCTTTCAGCCATATCTGATGGTGGTATACGGGAATGCCATTTCTTTAGCATGTTGATGTGGAATACCTGCAAAGGCTGGCGTCTGGAAGGAATCTCGATTTCGTAAGTCACTGGACCAACTTTTCGCTTTACTTTATAGGGACCTTGCCACTTCGCCAACAACTTGTTTTCCAAAGTTGGCAACAACAAGAGGACCTTATCACCAGGATTGAAACTGCGTGTTCGGGCTGCTTTGTCATACCATTCTTTCTGCTGGGCTTGGGAATGGAGCAAGTTCTTTCGGGCTTGAGCTGTGGTCTTTTGGAGTTGTTCTCTCATCTTGAGGACATAAGTCAGAATGTTTTGCTTACTGGACTTGTGTGTGTCTTCCCAGCTCTCTTTCAGCACATCCAAGGGACCTCTCACCGGATGGGCATAAAGGAGCTCAAAAGGCGAGAATCCTGTGGAGGCCTGGGGTACCTCCCGATAGGCAAAAAGAAGGAACGGCAGCCACTTGTCCCAGTCTCTGCCCGTTTCAGAGACAAACTTTTTGAGCATGGCTTTTAGGGTCTGGTTAAAACGCTCGACCAGCCCATCAGTCTGAGGGTGATACGGGGTGGTTCGGACTCTCTTAATCCCTAGCAATTGATATACCTGGTGTAGGGTATGACTCATGAAGTTGGGTCCTTGGTCTGTGAGAACCTCTCGGGGTATGCCCACTTGTGAAAATAATCTCAACAGGGCTGTGGATATCTGTTTGGCAGTGACCTCTCTAAGGGGATAAGCCTCAGGGTACCTTGTAGCATAGTCACAAATTACTAAAATGAATCTGTTCCCTGCCTGACTTCTTTCCAGTGGGCCAACTATATCCACCCCTATTCTTTCAAAGGGAACGTCCACAACAGGTAATGGAATAAGTGGGGCATGAGCAGGGGTGTGACCAACAGCAAGCTGACACTCAGGGCATGTCTTACAGAACTCCTTCACATCACTGTACATTCTGGGCCAATAAAACCTCTTTGCAATCCGCATTAAGGTTTTCATAAATCCCAAGTGACCTGCCCAGGGAATTGAGTGTCCTAGCTCTAATACCTCCCTTCTCTGTGTCTGGGGTACAACCAACTGCATCCCGTCTTCTTTACTTTCTCTGTACAAGAGTCCATTATCCAGTATAAACCTCTCGTCCAAAGAAACATCTACCTTATTCTGTGCCTGCTTTAAACAGTCAGCTAAGGTGGAATCATCATTCTGGAGCTTAGCTAGATTATTTGGAATGACAAGGTCTATATCACTCAAGTCAGGTTCCTCGGCCTCTACCTCAGCTTGTTCTGTGGTCCCCATCAAACTTTCCACACACTCTCTATGTAGCTGCAGCCTATCCTCTGCTGTAGGTTTTGGCCCTGGGACAATATCCTCAGAAAAAAAAGGCATGGATTGCAGTGCCTCCTCAGCTTCTTGGAATGGTGTGTTCTGTTCTTGTTTCTTAGCCTGAGCCCTTGTTACTATTCCACACCATGCAGTCTCCTGTAACAAATCAACCAACACTGGCAAATCTGTGCCTAGCAAAATGGGGTATGGCAGTCTCTGAGCTACTCCAACCTTCATAAGATATGGCTGACTATGCACTTCAATGTAGACTTCAGCTTTTGGCAACTTAGTACTGTCCCCATGGACACAGCAAACAGTCACAGTTTCCTCCTCACTCCAGCTATCTCGGGGTACATATTTGGCCTCTACCAATGTGTGGGCACAACCTGTGTCTACCAAAGCTGGGAGTGGTTTCCCATTCAACAAAACAGTGACAACTGGCTCTAAATCACGTTTAGGAGTTGCATACGGTACTAGCCGTGGAACGTAACAAAGACTTGCTGTCTTAGGCTTTTTCAAGGGACAATGTGGTCTAGTATGCCCTGGCTCACCACAATTAAAACACACAACTTCACTTTTGACTATGGGTTGAGGTAGGGAAACAGATGTTGTGGGTTCACTGTATGTTGCTTTCAGAATCTTAGCTTGGCTTTTAGAGCTTGACCACGCCCCCATACCCTCAGACTTACCCTTGGTGGCCTGCAGGACGCCAGCATATTGGAAATGTCCTGAACCCTTCCTTGCAGAAATATAGGCCTCCACCAGGTTAGCAGCCTGCCCAGCAGTGATTGGATTATGTTCCTTGACCCAGGTCCTCACCTCTGGATATAACACCCGCAGAAACTGTTCAAGCACCATAGCCTCCATAATGTTGTCTTTGCTGCTCTGGTTGAACTGGACCCACTTGGAAAACAGATCTTTAAGACGAGTGTAGAGTTCTTGGGGTGACTCATTCACAGGGGTAGTTAATGAACGGAATCTTAACCGATAGGTCTCAGTGCTGATCTCATACTTTTTCAGTATGGCTTCCTTCAGCTGGTCATAATCCTGTGTCAAGGATGGATTCATGGCCACAAAAGCACTCCTGGCCTTGCCTGTAAGCAGGGGTATTAGGCGTATGGCCCATTCTTCTCTCGGCCACTGGTAAACTTCCGCCAGTCTCTCAAAAGTGGTCAAAAAGTGTTCTATGTCATCATTGTCCTCAAGCCTGGCCAATCTTGGCTCCTGGCTTTTAACCCTGGCAGCTGCCCCCTCACGATCTGTACCTGAAAGTCGGGAACGCTCCATATCCAGCTGCATTTGGGTGACTTGATGACCGAGAACTTTGTAGTTTTGCTCTCGTCTAACTGTTTCTCGTTCCTGCCGTTCATCCCGCTCTTGCTGATACCGCATGAAGGACTCAAACATCCATGAAAGAGCCATAACTGCAGCATCCCCTCCAGCAGACGGAACCTCAGCAGGTTGCTCACTTGCCTCTGGGTCACCTCCTATGGCACCCTGGTCCACATCCTGAACTGTGCCTTCCCCAGGCTGACTCCTTAGTTTGGGAGGCATGACAGCCAAGGCAATCTTCCCATACGTCACTTGACCGGTACTTATCCCACTTCTGACACCACTTGTTAGGGTGTACCGGCGGTGAGGGTGTAAAATCAATGACGATGTAGAATAATTCAGTCCAGGGTGTTTATTTTGGTGCAAAAATCGTGATTCCCAGCAAAAATATATACAATGAAAAACAAAACAAAACAAACTAAGGCAAAAATAAATATACAAATCTAGCAGTCTGTATTCCAGCTATGCCAATATCAAGGCCCAAAATACAAGGAGTAATGCCACACTCCAAAAACACACTCCACAAAATGGCTACCAGAAGCCCTTTTATATAGTTAGGCTCCTCCCACTTCTGGAACATCCCATGTAGAAGTAAATGACAATTTCAAAGTAAGATAAAACTATACAAATACTTCAAACAAATGATATTAATACACAATCTAAGCATCACATTAGTAATTACAAAGTGTTGCTTACACATTGAGAAGAAAAATGCCAGAGACATGATAGTTTCCCAGATTTCCCCCTGTGATGTCACTGACAATGGAATTTCCCTTCCTACTGGGCAGATGAAGACTTTAAAATGGCAGCCATCGCTGCACATGGGTTTGCCAGTTGAGAATTGACCCACCATGTGAGTACTACGGTATTTTATGTGTATATGTTAGTTTGTTATAATAAACTGTTAACATTTGTAAGAATTTGGTGTGGTTTCTTTGAATGTTAAATCATACAACAAAACAAGAGAAAACATTAAGCATTGTAACACAACAACCCAAAAAGAAAGTAAATTATTTAAACAAAACTGTAGGACAAAGCAGAGGTTATTACACCAACTAAACAGAGAAATAACCACACATCAATAAATATATATATGATGTTATTTTGCCGGCATCTGGATTGTGTGTGGTTGTATAATGATGTAAACTGTTAATTGGTGTACATGTACTTCAGCAGTCCTTTCAAAATAAAAGTCATAGGTCACAGGCTATCTGTGACAAATGCATTTACATATGTATAAATATAAATCAAAACAGGAAACACTACATATTATATAATTAAATAGAATATAAATATATAAAAAAAATCAGGCAGGGGTCAAGCAGGTGAGGATTTCTAGAAACCAGAGGGCAGTCCAAAGAAAACATATTATATTATACATTTATACAATTATACATATTTATAATTATAACTCAAAAATAGGACACAATACATATTATATAATATAAATCTAATAAATACATAAAAAACAGGCAGGCTCCAGAAGGTGAGGATTGCCATAAACCAGAAGGCAGTCCAAAGAAAACATACATATTTATAAATACAAATCAAAAACAGGAAACAATTAATATAATAAATACATTTTAAATAAATAATACAACAGGCAGGGTTCCAGAAGGAGAGGAGGCAGAAGGCAGTCTAACGAAAACATTAGACCAAGGTCTACATATTAGGAACAAGGTCAAGCGAGTGTCAGGCCCGACGGCCTCCATCCCTGTCTGCGGCAAGCTGCAGCCATCTTTTGATCCAATTTTCAATCTCTTGATCTGTTGCAGTGGCAGTTAACCGGTTTCTTCTGACAGCAGCTACAATGACACATATGAACAACAGTAAATAAGCAAATAATTATTATTTATTATAAATCTTACATTTATAGGCACACCAAACAGCACAAATAAAAGGCAGTTCATTTCAGAAAGCCATACCATTGATTACAGTTTTTAGAGAGGTGTCTTTAAATGCAACTTTTCCATTGATTCCCCTCCAGTTAATCTGACGGGCCATGTCATTTGAAAGGAGGAAGCTGAGAATTCGCCATACGCTTTCTTTGACTGTTGTGCCTCCCCTCAAGGCTAACGTGTTCATCTGTAAAAATAAATGTATGCACAAATAAAGGAACAAGCATCCAAAAATCACCCTTTAAACAGAATGTACAAAGACTTTTACCGGTCAAAAAAAAAAAAATGTTTATTTGGAATTATTTAGCCTTTAAAGTGATAGTTTACCCTCCAAAAAGTCCTGGCTCTTCTGAGTTTTAATACCTGAGTGAATAGGCATTTCTGTTTTGAAGTGCATAAGTGCCCCACACAGCTCTGGGGGTTTATAAAGGCCTTTTGCCTTTATAAACAGGGGCGGCAGTGGCTCAGTGGTTCATGTGGGTTGTCTACGAACAGGTTGGTGGTTCAATCCTCGGTTCCACCTGACCAAATGTCGAGGTGTCCATGAGCAAGACACCTAACCCCAGCTGCTCCCGACGAGCTGGATGGCGCCTTGCATGGCTGACACCGCCGTCGGTGTGTGAATGTGTGTGTGAATGGGTGAATGTGAGGCAATATGTAAAGCGCTTTGGTGGCCATTAGGTCTATGAAGGCGCTATATAAATGCAGTCCATTTACCATTTTGAAGCAAAGCGATGCGTTTGTGTGAGAAAAATATCCATGTTTAAAACTTTATCGAGTAAATGGACTTGGAAAATATACAGCCATTCACATCCATTATAAAGCTTGGAAGAGCCAAAACATTTTTAAATATAACTCGATTGTATTTGTCTGAAAGAAGAATGTCATATACACCTAGGATGACTAGAGGGTGAGTAAATCATGAGCTAATTTTCATTCATTTCAGTTCCTTCAGCAGTAGAAGGAACTTATTCGCAACTAGCAATCTCATTGGTTGGTGTTAACGATCACTATCCACATTTTGATTTCAGAAAATCAGTTATTGTGAGTGAAAGCATACAATTGCAGTTTCTTTACCAGGCCAAACCTTTCTTGTTGCTTTACCATTCCGTGTTGAACCAGCCCAGCCAGTACGGATATGGTTTAAACGTGGTTGACTACCTACTATACCATTCACAATGAGCAAAATATGAAAACACTGACACAGTTAATTGATGCAAGTTATTTTTTTCTATTGAAATATGAAATCTTACCACAGCTGTCTTGTAGTCTTCGCGCGGCTACGCCACTCGGATTTCTTCATATGTGACCGCTTCAGCTGTGGCTTCGCGATCGAGTCCCGAGGTGGGCATGGCATCACGGTACGCTCAGAGTTCCAGTAACTCCGACCTGCCGTCAGACCTTCTTCCCGTGGACGAACCTCAGCGTTTTACAGGCAGAGTCCCTCTCCAGGCATGTTGTTGTCTCCACAGATGCCTCTGCCATGGGTTGCGGAGCCATGCAGCCGCGGGTTCCTGGACAGGACCCCAGGGCCTTATGCATATCAATTGCCTCGAGTTGCTGAAGAGTCGCAACTCGTACGCCACTATTATGGAGTCAGAAGCACCTGAGGTCCCTTCGTGCTATTTACATTCCAGGAGAGCGGAACCTGGTAGCCGACGAGCTGTCACGGTTCCGTCCAGTCTCTGGCGAATGGCGACTCCATCCCCAGTCGGTCCAGCTGATATGGGACCAGTTCGGGGAGACACAGATAGATCTGTTCGCTTCCCACGACTCATCCCATTGCGCCCTGTATTACTCTCTGACCGAGGGCACGCTCGGCACAGACCCCTTGGCGCACAGCTGGCCGCGGGGTCTACGCAAGTATGCTTTACCCCAGTGAGCCTTCTCGCACGGACTCTGTGCAAGATCAAGGAGGATGAGGAGCAGGTCTTGTTGGTCGCCCCATATTGGCCCACCAAGACCTGGTTCTCCAAACTGATACTCCTCGCGACAGCACCTCCTTGGCCAATTCCTCTGAGGAAGGACCTCCTCTCTCAGAGGCGGGGCACCCTGTGGCACCCTCGTCCCGATCTGTGGAGGCTACACGTGTGGCTCCTGGATGGGACGAGGCAGGTTTGAGTACCCTGCCACCTGTGGTTGACTTACTACAACTTTCTCCCATCTCCCGACTGCATCTCTGGAGTGATCTTGGGTTCTTCTTTACCTCTCTCACCAAGGCTCTTCTCCCCTGATAGCTCAGTTTGGCCGGACGGCCAGCTCTAGGAAGGGTTCTGGTTGTCCCAAATGTCTTCCATTTAAGGATTATTGAGGCCACTGTGCTCTTATGTAGGGATGGCTGGCGCGAAACAGACGTTCCGAAGCTTTGCGAGATCCCGAAGCGCAGATGATTCAAAACACTGATCCGAAGCGTGATTCAAAACACCCACGTCACGTGACTACGGCTAAATGAAGCAGTGTTTCATCAGGTGGAGTGTTCTGCCGAATCAGGGTTTGATTGATTGGTCGGTCGGGAAAGATCACACAGAATACCTATTCTTAAAGTTGCTATTGTGCTGTTTTATGAAGGCAAAAAGCCATACAATGGTTTCGATTTTAGTTCAGTGGCAAAATATAACGCTAGAGACCATGTTAGTTTATACTTTTTACATCTCATATGTTCGACAAAAGCCAGGCTCGAACCCAAGCTCATCAATTACTCTGTCAAGAACTACACGCTCTACGATCTACGCCACTGTAACTGTTCGTGACAGGCGCGATTAAAAGACCCCCCCCCCATATATATGTGTATATATATATATATATATATATATATATATATAGACAGATTAATAGAAAGAACAGCAGAGAAATTAAAAATTTTAAATAAAAATCTATAACAAAGTGAGACATTGTGGCTTGATTTGTTTTATTAATGTTCATTTTTCATGACCAAAATAACATTATGCAATGTGAAGAGACTGCAAGTTACAAGCATCATATATTAAAAAAATACAAAAATAAAAAACAACACATTTTTAAATGGCTCGTTGTAATGGTTGTTTCAGATGAACACCTGCAATTGACCACTAGGTGTCGCCATGGAGACGGGTGTCGGATTGATTCGAAGCCTCGAAACAATATAGCACATTTGCTTCAACTGTTTAATTGCTTCACAAAGCCTCGATCTGCCCATCACTACACTTATGAACCTTAAGTGCAGCAGAATTTTTTGTAACCATGGCCAGATCTGTGCCTTGCCACAATTCTGTCTCTGAGCTCTTCAGGCAGTTCCTTTGACCTCATGATTCTCATTTGCTCTGACATGCACTGTTAAGGTCTTGTGTGTCGCTTTCCTAATCAAGTCCAATCAGTATAATCAAACACAGCTGGACTCAAATAAAGGTGTAGAACCATCTCAAGGATGATCAGAAGAAATAGACAGCACCTGAGTTAAATATATGAGCGTCACAGCAAAGGGTCTGAATAGGACCATGTGATGTTTCAGTTTTTCTTTTTTAATAAATGTGTTTAATAAATGCTGTGTTTTTCTGTCAATATGGGATGCTGTGTGTACAATAATGAGGGACAAAAAAAAAACAACAACAAAAAAAAACAAACTTAAATGAATTTAGCAAATGGCTGCAAAATAAGGGGGTCTGAATACTTTCCGTACCTACTGTATGTAAAATTACAAATATAATCTGCAATTAAACAGTAACAAAACAATTAAATGATAAAACTGTTAAATGTAAATGTAAAACATCCTAAATTAAACCGAAAAACACAAATTTACAGGTATTTCCTGCATTATTATGATCAAATATCTTCATTGTGCAAAAATCGTGAAAAAAGGGTTAAAGGTATTGGTAGGCTGGAATTGTATAAAATTTTTTTTTTCCAAATTCGTTTAAACTTTATGTATATATCAATGCATAATGAAAATATAAGTACTCTGAAAAAGAAAGTATAAAAATCGAGTGTCTGTAGACCTCTCACGACTGTTTTAAAGACAGCTCATTATTTCCATTCACTTCAAACCCTCCCTTCTGGGCTCCTTCCAAAGCCACGCCCCCAAAACACATGAACTCCGACAGCCGAGCTGAAGACGCATTATTTACCTGAGACGAGCGGAGAGGAAGGAGCACAGTGCATGTAGTGACTGACATCATGTCAGAATCACATGTAATAAAAAATCTAACTTTATAATTATGAAGATAAACAAATAAGATGTATTTTAGTACTCACTATCAAGTATCAAGCTATTGGTAAAGTCATCTATAGCCAAAGGCAAAGCTAAAAACAAGTTGCATTATACACGTTTTTCCATTGCCATCATTTATGAAGATTGCCATCGTGATGAAGATGAATTTCGTGTAAGATTCATAACATATAGCCTATGGTGTTCGGCATGTAACGTTAAGAGTTTCCATGATGAAAGCATTGTTGACTCTGATGAGGACAGTGGGGTTAATAGCATTTATGAGTTTATGAGTTACCCTACCATCCAAGGAAAAAATATTGCTCCCCAGATGTAGATCTACATTTTGCTTCGTTTCACTCTGACATTTAACGGTGTGTACATACACGCATACACGCAGATAGCTGAAAATGTGTATAGATAACACACCACTTGACTTGAAAGTGGCGTTTACGCAAAAGTCATGTTTTCATGTTGACACTCCAGAGACAAGTAGCCTACCGCATCGCCAGCTCGAGGACAGATCCGTGGTCGAGGGCGAAGCAGATTGGGTCGTGCAAGAGGCCGTGCAGCTAGAGGCCGAGGACGGGGTGGTCGAAGTGCAGGGCAAGGAGCACTTCTTGGAAAAGAGGACCTGCGTCGAGTTTTGCATCTTCAAGCTCAAACAAGGGCATGTGAACAGGTATCTGGATACGCGCAAGTGGGCAGGTCCTGTGTGGCAAAAGGGTGGTTGCCATGGTTGCGAGAGAGTGACAGTTGCCTAGGCCAATCCGTTGTTTCGTCCCGGTTTGAAATAATGAGCTGCGTTTAGTGCAGATTAAACGGTCTAGAGTCACTCGATTTTTATACTCTTTTTATCAGAGTACTTACATTTTAATTATGCATTGATATATATATATATATATATATATATATATATACTGTATATATATATATAGAAAGTTTAAACAAATTTGGAAAAATGTTTGGAAAAATTACTGCCTACCCCACCTTTAAATGACTACTAGGGGTGGCACGGTTCACAAAACCCACGGTTCGGTTTGTATCACGGTTTTAGGGTCACGGTTTTCGGTTCTGTACGGTTCTTGTTATTTTTTCTTTTAATCTTTAACACTCCAGAAATGTACTTCAGCATGTGATATATAGCTTAATTATCCACACTTTAGGATACAGTATTAAAAATATATATATTATATTCATGCAATCATGCACATACTGAATTTGACTCTTTGACTTTAAGCACATTTTGGGACTATCTCAGAGGAAAGCTAGGTGAGATTTAGATTGACATGCTTTTTGTTTATTTGGCAAAAAAAGGAGAATGTGTATCACTATCATACAAGAACTTGTGCATTTTTATCACATAAATCTTATTTACACAAAGAAATTAACCTTCATGTATCAACTGCTAACTTTTGTAGCTCTTACCAAAATTCTATCTTTTAAAAGAAAAAGAGAGCAACTCTTAAAACACTGTCTTTTAAATGTCAATATACATGAAACCTCATTGCCTATAGATAATTAAGCTATAGCAATAGCAAAGGCCATAAACATAAAGTGAAATTTAAGTTCAACCTCAACACAAAAACAGTATCAACAATGCTTCTATTCCCAAAATGTGAGGGTACTTTTTTCCACTTAAAATTAAAGTGCAGGGTTTGTAAACGTATGACTGAAGCTCTTATCTATACATAAAGTGCCACTGTAGTTAAATTAAAATATCATAACATGAAATCCAAAATGTTCCGACACACCGGACTTATACCATAGACTTATACGATGCTGGCGCGTCCTCCAACTCCCTCATCTCTCCCACTTGCCATTTCTCCGCGTGCCGTGACCTGCAGCGCTCCATACTCCACTTTTACTGGCTTGTTTATTAACTTGAACCGGCGCTGCACAGAGCGATCGGTAATGACATCAAATACCGCGAAAGTGATGAATTAAATTAAAGTAAAATATGCTAATTCAAATAAAGTGCAAAAAACTTGAACAGAAATTTGATGTCACCATGATTGAGATATGTGTTTTTGCTTTAGTTTGGCTCTTGACCCTGAAGTTTTTAATGTTTCTCTGGCTGCTTTAACTGTTTTTTTATACTCATGTTCCCCATGAACCTTGAAACTACGAATGTATGACAGATAAAACATCAGGAGAAGAGACAATGAGAATGTTTAGAAATTTCAGGATCGAGATCTCTTTGGTCAGAAGTATGTTCAATAAGGATGCACATCAAGATCGAGGACACTTCGACCAGAAATATGTTCAATGGGTCAAATTTAGACTAATATATGGTTGACGCAACATTAAAATAAGTCTAATGTAAAATGAGTTATGCTTTGATGACTCTTTGGCCAGAAATGTCTGGGTCAAATATGGACTACTGCGTGGCTGATGTAACATCAGAATTTTATATAGGGTGAAGTCAGGTAAAGTGGGAAACTTTTTGGTAAATTGCATTTTAAACAACCAACGTCAGTTAGAATGTATTCAAATTGTATGTGTTTTGTTTAAATAGATTGTGATTAAGGCCACTATGGTGAAAT